ACTCAATGGCACCTGACAACAACAACAACAACTGTGGCACTGTGGGTTAATGGCCAGACTGTAAGCCTTTTGAATTGCAGAGTCAGTGGTTCAAGCTCACCAGTCACTCCTCGGAAACCCTATACAGGGTCGCTATGGGTTGGAACCTACTTGACGGCACTTAACAACAACAACTGTCAAGCGTAGTGGTTACGAATTGGGCTGCTAACCTCAGGGTCAGCAGTTTGAAACTACCAGCTGTTCAGTAAGAGAAAGAGGAGGCTTTCTGCTCCCGTAAAGATTTACAGCCTGGGAAACCCTGTGCAGAGTGGCTATGAGTCAGAACCGACTCCCCGGCACATAGCAACAACAATAACAGTCTTATCATTATTTGAGCTTTGCTAGTTGTCCAACTGTATCTTTTGTGGAAAAAGTTTCTAATTCTATATCATACATTGTAATTTGTTATCTCTTTGTTATTGTTAGGTGCTGTTGAGTCTGTTCCTACTCATAGTGATCTTTTGTACAAAAGAATAAAACACTGCACAGGTCTGAGCCATCCTGAATCATTGCTATTTTTGAGCAATGTGTCAGTCTATGTTGCAGTCACTGTGTCAGTCCATCTCTTTGAGGACCTTCCTGATTCTCGCTGACCCTCTACTTTACCAAGCATGCTAGCCCTCTCCTTCACTCTTTATTTTATTATTGTGAATTGAGTGAAGGTTTACTGGACAAAATCATCAGTTTTATATTCAACAAATCATACATTTTTGTTTCACCTCAATGATTGTAACCCCCTTTATTTACCCCACTTCTTCCCTCTCCTTATATAATTCTCCTTCGATCTTGAACAGATTAGTTCCTCAGTTTTTTATTTTCTTGAACGTGACACTTTTGGTGACTGCAAGCCTGATATTTTGTAGTGTCCTCAGTTTGTTTTAGAGATTTCCTCATGATTAGATTCAGATTATGTGTCTTTAACAAAAATAAAAAGATTATGCTGTGTTTGTCTCATTCATTGCATGCTGTTAGGTGACACATAATTTCATTTGTTTTATTACTAATGATACTAACTTGGATTATTTTATTAAGGTGATCTCTACCGGTTTCTCCACTATAAAGTTACTGTTTTTCTTTTTGTAGTTAATTTCTTATTAAAACTTTTGATTACTCATTTTTTATACCATTATGGACTAATTTTTATTCAGTGAATATTAATTTGGTGAGGGTTATATGCTTTCGGGTCTGTTTTGACTCAGTAGTGACCCTATGTAAGGTTTCCGAGACTGTAAATCTTTACAGGAGCAAAAAACTCATCTTTTTCCTGCTAATCAGTTGATGGATTTGAACTGCTTACTTTGCAGGTAGCAGTCTATTATGAAACCCACTTCACCACCAGGGATCCTTGAATATTAATATGTTACTGTCATAATTAATCTGATGCTTAATTTGTCCCAACTAATGCCAGGGGTGGTCTCTTCAAACTGGTTTCTATCTCCTTTGGCGTATCTTTTGGCACAAAAAATGTTCCAGTCTTATCCTGTACTGTCTGTACCCAGCTTTGGAATCAGCTATTCTCCAAAAGTTGTAATTTCTTTTAGTGAAAAATAGTAGTAGAACCTAAAATTTAGGGTTGTGCTACTCCCAGGCCTTACTAGTAAACAGAGCTAGGAAGTATATATGTGTATGTGTTGTTGGTATTTTAAAATTGTCATCCAGTCAGTTCTGACTCATAGCAGCCCTTTATAGGGTTTCCAAGGCTATAAATCTCTGCAGGAGCAGAAAGCCTCATTTTTCTCCTGTGGAGGTACTGGTGGGCTCAAATCTCTGACCTTGTAGTTTGAAGTCCAGTGCTTATTATACAAAGCCACTGTCCCGCCCCCCAGTTTGTATATGTACATACATATACATTTGCATCAAATCTAAATCAAACCCACTATTGTGAGTCCATTCCAACATATTCCAACCCTTGTAGGACAGAGTAGAACAACTTCACAGACTATCTCAGGCTGGAGTCCTGCTGGGCTGCACAGTCAGTCTGAACGTCAAGGTTGGTGGTTCAAGCTCACCAGCCACTCCTCAGAAACCCTATAAGGATCACTATGAGTCAGAACTGACTCAATGGCACTTAACAACAACAATAAACCTTACAGAGTACAGTGGCTCCATAGAATAAGCACTGAACTGTGAACCACAGAGTCAGTGGTTCTAGCCCACCAGCCACTCTATAAGAGAAAGATGAGACTTTCTGCTCCTGCAAAGATTTTAAAAGCCTTGGAAGCTTATGAGTTAGAAGTAGTTCAACGACATTTAACAACAACAAACCTTTACAGAAGCAGACTACCCATATTTTTTCTGTGGGACAGCCATACTAGATTTGAACCACTGACCCTTTTGATTAGCAGCCAAGTATTGAAACCACCAAGGCTCCTCTATATATGCACATATACGTATTGATTTACATTGGTCTTTACCTGTGTGAAGCATGAATTTATATCAGTGCTTCCTATCCTAGTTCACTAACATGTGATTCATTCTGTATTTTTGTCTTCTTTCTATATTTGTTCATTCCATCTCTGATAGTAAGTAAACTGATTCCCATTACCCTTAGTATATATTTTTTATTTTATTAGATCCCTATTTATACACCCAGGAGTCCTAGTATGGCATTGTGGGTTAATGCACCAGACTGCAAAGCCATATGAACTGTAAGGTTGGCGGTTCAAGCTTACCAGCGTCTCCTTAGAAACCCTATATAGGGTCGCTGAGGGTTGAAACCAACTTGACGGCACTTAACAAGAACATATATACACCCAAAGAGCTCAGGTAGTGTAGTGGTTACGAATCAGGCTGCTAATCTCACAGTCAGCAGTTCAAAACTACCAGCTGTACCATGGGAGAAAGATGAGGCTTTCTGCTCCCGTAAAGATACAGCCTCGGAAACCCAATACAGGGTCACTGTGAGTTGGAACCGACTCTACGGCACATAACAATAAATATATACATCCATCTACCATCCCTGCTTTCTCTTCGTTACAGATGCTTTCCTCACATCACTCAGGTTTTGGCACTTTGTACCAGGTCGCTCACCTTTGAGAGCGCTCTCCTCACCTTTCATGGTTTTCTGATTTCTTATGCCAGGTGGACCTTCTGTGGGAATGTTCTCCTCACCCCGTTTTTGCTCAGTAGAACGTATGAAGCTGCTGCCACTTTCATACCTCCCACTCCATATGGAAGCTATCATCATTCCTTTTAGATTCTTACGTTCTGCACCAAACTGTCCCTCTGTGCTCATGCAGATTGAATCCCAACCGCCAAAGCTCAGTTCTCCTCCCATTAGTTGCCCTTCTCATTTTGCTTCATCTCCTAGTACCCCAATCTAAGTCTGTCATCCACTTTTTGTCTTTTTTGTACCACTCAGACTCAGATTCTAGCATAAGACCACCTCCCAATGTAGACATCCATCTTACTCCAGTTGGACACTGGCATCCCACTCAGATCTGCCCTGCCAAGTACCTATCTTGTCTAAGCCCACATAATCGCTGTTGAACTAAACCATTGTGGAAGAGAAGGCTAAAGTTCTAATGGCACACCTTTGTTTTCCTTTCTGTACCTTAAGCAAAGGAAAACAGTAGCGGTTCGGGCATAGAATTGTCTTTCCATGTGGTAGACTTAGGTTCACTTAGTGGCCAGTGACCTCAATTGCAGCCACTACTATGAATTGTTAGTGGATTGCTTGTTGCTATGAATCTTTAACAGGTTTTTGCAGAGCTTCAGACTAAGATGTACTAGGAAGAAAGTCATGATCTATTTCCAAAAATATGCCAATAGAAACCCTGTAAATCACAGAGGTCCACCTGCAACTCATCATGGGATGATACAGGACTGGGCAGTGTTTCATTACATTGTGCATGGGGTCATCATGAGTTGAGACCAACTTGATTCTGATTAACAACGGTTAACAGCAGTTTAAACATCTCTAGTTGTTTCTTTTGTTTTTAACTGTTGCTCACACTACATTATTTCTAGAAGGTAGAGTAATAAGACCATGACAGCAGATGAGATATGGAAAACAAGATTGCTTTCTTGTGTGATATACAGATCAATGGTTCACTCTAAAATATCAGTCCTGAGATTTCCTTATTTACCTTTTCAGGCTGGATGCATTGTATGGTAGTTTTATAGTGGTTATAATATACTGATTTATCCATCTTTGTCATACAAATTAATTGAAGTTTAGAGATGTTCTAATAGCTCTATCTAATTATAATAGTAGTAAAAATCAAAGTTAGAGGATTTTGAAGTTTAAGTGTTGATTTACCTTGCATTATATTTTGCCTTTTGCCTGTCAATTAAGTATCTTATCTGTTTTAGGTATGACTTTAGCTTTTCCAGCTTCAGTTCATGATTCTCTGATTTGCAGTAAAACATTTCAAATTCTATACAAAAATGAAGAGGTTATTTTAAATGATGTTATGATCTTCAAAATTAAAATGTTGTTGGATGAAAAAAAGGTAAATATCTCTTCATATATACTTGGATACGTATTTTTCTAAAGACTTAAGGCATATTTCTAACTTCCAATAGATATTCAAAAAATTTCTCACGTTGTCATTTCTCCTCAGATTGAAGAAACCCTTGAGGAAATGAACTTTTCATTATTCTTGGATCTGCACTTCACAGATGGAGATTATTCGTAAGTATGCTTGTCGAACAATTTTTTTTTTTAAATCCTTAGATACTCAATTGTCTCTGTTAGTATTAAGTTCCTATTTATTTATTTATTTATTAATATTCGAACCTATCTCCTTCATGCGCATTTTGAACTACTTCTGTCTCCTTGGAGAATTTCATGAGCATTACTAAGTCTGCTCCTGTATGCCCATGTTGAATCCATAAACCCTAGGAAGGAAATTCAAACAAGCTGAAGAAATATGAAATCCTTTACTAAACTTTAGAAATTACACTGTTGGTATACTACCACCACCATGAGGCATTTAAATATAATTAAGCTCTCTATCTCTTTGTCACTGGTAATCTTGCTTAGTGGCACCTTTCACATGAGACTTTTTTGATATTCTGAGTTATTAAGAGAATGCTCATAAACTTGGCAGTTGTCACCAATTCATTAATTTCTAGTTTGAGTATTTTTAGACTGGCTACAACTCAAAATAAAGAAAAACAGCTGTAAACTTCCATTAGTAATTGGAGCATGGAATGTACAAAGTATGAATCTAGGAAAATTACAAATTGTCAAAAATGAAATGGAATGAATAAACATTGATGTATAAGGCATTAGTGAGCTGAAATGGACTGGTATTGGCCATTTTGAATCTGATGACCACATGGTTTACTATGCCAGGAATGACAAATTGAAGAGGAATGGTGTTGCATTCATTGTCAAAAAGAACATATCCAGATCAGTCATGAGGTACAA